CCCCTCCCCCCTCTCTCCCTCTCTCCCCTCTCTCTTTCTCTCTCGACCCCCCCCCTCTCTCTCTCCCTCTCTCTCTCCCTCCTCCTCCCCCCTACCCCTCTCTCAACCCCCCCCTCTCTCTATCCTCCCCTCTCTTTCTCCCCTCTCCCCCCTCTCCCCTCTCTCGTCTCTCCCCCCTCTCCTCCCCCTCCCCCCCCTCTCTCCCCCTCCCCCCTCTCCCCCTCCCTCTCCCCTATCTCTCCTCTATCCCTCCCCCCTTCCCTCTCTCTCCCTCTCCCTCTCTCTCTCCTCCTCTCCCTCTCTCCCCCTCCCCTCCCTAGCTCTCCTCTCCCCCCCTCTCTCTTCATCCCTTCCCTCTCCCCCTCTCTCTCAACCTCCCTCTCTCCCCCTCTCTCCCTCCCCTCCCTCTCACTCTACCCCCCTCTCCCCCCCTCTCTCTCCCTCCCTATATTTCCTCTCCCCTCTCTCTACCCCCCCCATCCCTCTCCCCTTCCCTCTCTCTCCCCCTCCCTCCCCCTCCCCCTCATCTCCTCCTCTCTCTCCCCCTCTATCTCTCTCCCCTTCCTCCCTCTCTCTCCTCCCCCTCTTCTCTCCTCCTCCCCTCTCTCCACCCCTCTCCCCTCTTTCTCTCCATCCCTGCCCCCCCCTCTTTCAACCCCCCTTTCTCTCTCTCTCTCCTCCCCCCCCCCCCCCCCCTCCCTCCCTCTCTACCCCTCTCTCTCTCCCTCTCTCTTTCTCCCTCTCTCTCCCCCTCTCTTCCCCCCTCTCCCTCTCCCCTCCCCCTCCCCCTCTCTCTCCCCCCCCCTCTCTCTCTCTCTTTCTCTCCCTTTCCCCCTCTCTCTCTTTCTCCCTCCCTCTCTCCACAGAAAGTTACAATGTAAAAAAATGTGTTAAATGAATTAAATAATATAAAAATGTAAAGCACCCCTGTCCCCCGTGGTAATGCACAAATGCAAACATGCACGTAGGTCCTGCATACATATGTAAACGTAAAAAACTGCAACAGCAACAATTTTATATACAGCATAATGTGTATTTTTCACAAAGCCCATCTCTAGTCTGCTTGCATGCTTTCCTAACCTGGACAAATTAATCTGATAGAGACCAACGATTTAGAGTTCTTCTCATTCAAACCTAATCTCGATAGACATGACTCCCTATAGACAGGAGTAGAATTGTTAGCAAAGAAAAATTAAACAATATTCAAATTAAAGAATATTTGAATAAAAATCATCTCACTTTCTCTTTCTTTCTCTCTTTCTCAATTACCCCCCCCCGAGCCCCACAACCACCACCACCCCCACCAGCCCATACCTACTGTATCATCATTCATTTCTCCCTCTCTTCCTTAAAAAAAATTGTTTTTTTTTTTACAATTTTTTTTTTTGTAGTTACCTTTAACCACTCTCTATATTATATCCTCCTGACAACAGTGGAAATGTCAATATCAGCCTAAGAGTAGGCGGGCCCACTGAAATGGGTGAGGGTCAGATTGTGTGAGTGGTTCTTTAAGTTTTTTTTTACATAAATTTGGTTTTATACACTTCAGCCCTAATAATGTCATATTTGAAAAAGCAGGATTTTGGAGTGCTAGGTTCCCTGAATTAGCTGGATCTCCCAATGAAGTGTCTTCTGATATTGAGGTTTCAGCAAGGCTGCTGTTTGGTACACCAGGGCCACTAGTAGCTTCCAAGGACAGTGTATGAAGAACACAGGAAACAGGCAGAGATTATATTCCTAAATTTAGTATAAGTTGTGCTATCCATTAACATCCATAAATATTGTTTAAGAGGTACTTAATGGGCCCCCTTCACCATGGCTGAATACTGTTGGGTTGCCAAGCCAGCATGTCACAGTCATGGGTCAGGCTCCGAGACCAGTAGCTATAACAGTAGATCAGCTTCTACCTGCTAGATGGACACTAGAAGCGGACACAAGCAGGTCACCAGGATGGTGGATGATGCAGGTCACCAGAGGTGCAGGATATAAACACTAACACGGCATTCACCAAAGGTCATCCTAGTTTTGTGAATTAATATGAATTAGTAACCGGACATGGGGGTCATCAAGATTGCACCTTGGGGGTGAGCAAGCCAGGAGCCAATATGGGGGATGTAGGGATTAAGCAAAAGCATAGTCGGTAGGAAAACAAGCCAAATTAATTAGAAACAAGTGGATTGCAGGTTGGGATCAAGTGGAAGCAAAGTCAGTAAACAAGCAAAAGGTTTATAACAAGTGGTTGCAGGTTGGGAACAAGTGGAAGTATAGTCTAGAAACAAGGCCAAAGGTCAACAACGAATGGTTGGAGGTTGGGATCAAGCAGAATATAGTCAGTAAACAAGCAAAACACTGGTATACCAAGTGGTTTCAGGTTGGGATCAAGCAGAAGCATAGTCTAGGAATAAGCCAAAGGTCAACAACAAATGATTGCAGGATGGAATCGAGCAGAAGCATAGTCAGTAAACAAGCCAAAGGTTAGTAACAAGTGGTTTGCATTTTGGGATCAAGTGGAAGCATAGTCTAGAAACAAGCCAAAGGTCAACAACGAATGGTTGGAGGTTGGGATCGAGTGGAAGCATAGTCAGTAAACAAGCCAAAGGTTAGTAACAAGTGGTTGCAGGTTGAGATCAAGCAGAAGCATAGTCTAGGAGCAAGCCAAAGGTCAACAACGAATGGTTGAAGGTTGGGATCGAGCGGAAGTGTAGGCGAGGAACAAGCCAAGTGTCAGAGCCTGGGATTGAACCTGGGCCTTCTGCAGGGAAAGGCAATGTTTCTTCTCACTGAGTCACCTGGAATGCTGGACAGCTCCCTTGACAATTCTTTGGATGATTCTGCCTTGGCCCTGTTTGCCTTGAACCCTGAACTCCTTGCTCCTCCAAGGAACTTCCTATAAAAGCCATTTCAATGCACTTCCTCCTTGCCAGATTATTGTGCCTTCCCAGCCAATATCCCGCTCATTGTTCCTGCTGCTGTCTACATCTTCGTTACCGACCTTTGGCTTGCTACTGACTACGATTTTGCCTCATCCTAATCTACTACCATCCGTGACCAACCCTTGGCTTGTGACTGACTCTGCTTCCGTTTGATCCCTACACTGTTTGATCCGCTATTGGCTTCCAGCTTGCTCATTCCCTGGTGGGGTGATCTTGAGATCTGCAACCTGGTATTAACACGCAGCCCAATCCATCTCCACCATTAGGAGCTCTGGTGAAAACGGTTAATACTTAGACCCCCCTCACCTCAGGTGAGCCTGCGTCATTCCCAGGGGGACCTGCTGGTGTACCAATCCTGCTGGTTTCAGGTAAGCCTTACAACTGCTGTAGAAACTGGTCTCTGAACCTGACCGCATATCGTGACACCAAGGTCGGTTATGAGTAATAGTGAAGATACGGATGGCAGCAGGAGTAACAAGAGCGTGGTATTGGCTGCAGAGAGCACAATAATCTGGGAAACAGGAAGTGCAAAGGCATAGCTTAAATAGGACGTTCATGTGATGATTTCAAGGTTCACCAGAAACAAGGCACAAGGCAGGATTGTCCAAAAGGGACAGACAGGGAGCTATCCAGCATCTCCGATATCTCAGCGAGAAGTGCTACTGCCAGAGTCAGCAGAGGTTGTGGATTCAGATTCCGGTCCTGGCACAGCAACTCAAAATGGGGGTCTTTGCTCCAACATAAGAGATTTTGCTTTCCAGATTTCCTGTTGTGAAGGTCCTCTTTCAGACCAACAGTATTCAGCCCTGATGAAGGGAGGCCCTCAGTACCCCTAAAATCTATTATCTCTTTTATCACGTAATGAGTCTTCTAGACAAAAACATCTGCCTGTTGCTCTTATTCTTGTGTTTTTGAATTTCATTCTTGAGGCACCCTAGGAGGTTCCCAGGCAACACACAGAGTTCAGAGACATGCCACCCCAGTTTTGATACAGAGCACCAATGGCAGCCTCAGAAGATGTACGGCAAGTCATATAGAATGGGTATCACCAAGAGAAGTCTTGGCCTTTTCATAAAGGAAATATTTTACCATGGGCAGCAGAGACAGGACTGTCAGACTTTGACAACCAGCACTGAGTCCTGTAGAGTCCTGTGGTTCAGCAGGTGGTCCTATGCAGCAGTTGCCGCATGCCATGGATGGAATTTTTTTAAATTTGTAATAAAGATTCTATACAAATAGTTTAAAACGACGACATAAAAAGGAAAGCAACGATCTTTGATCACGGTGTAGGTTTTGAAAGTTTATTTAGAAAAGTAGGAGGTACAAAGTAAAAGTAAGGACTACAAAATAGAAAGATTACAAAGGATCTTGACTGAGGGACATGCAGAATATCGAGGCTAGTACTTCCCCCCCCTAATCCATAAAACAACCACCCCCTCCAACCTACCCCACCTAAATAACCTGGCGACTCTCTTTTTGGTGTAAAACCGGCCATAGCAGCCCATTTATTTAACATAACTCTAACATAACACTTCTTGCAGTACAATCAAATAATAACTGACAGTAATGATCCCAACCGGGTCCAAGGTCTTCGAAGGCACCGTTACTCACATCAATAACTCGGCTGTATCTGACACCCAATGAAAAGGCCCCCAGCTGCTACTACACCGCCTCGGGGACAATACTACAGTTACGTAGTCCCAGATACAGCCAATGACCTCCCACCTTACCAACGTGACCTTATAATTGGGAAGGAACACCCCTACCTAGGATGGGCCCAACCCATAATCCACCAAATTGTCACTCCAGCACCGCCTTCAAAGACCCAGCGACCCCTGCCGGCTGCCATGACAAAACAGAAAACCAGACAAACACCTCAGGACATCAAATGGCAATCAGGAAAAGAAAACAAATCAATGAACCCACACAAAACAAACAACAGGACAAACACAAAAAGGACAAAACCACTAACAAAAGCAAACAAAAGAAAAAAGCAAAACAAACAACTAAACAGCTCCAGCGAGGGAGGGCAGGAGAAACCACACCAGTGCTGGCACAAGCTCCTACCAGGGGCGGACTGACCATTTGGAAACTCGGGCACTGCTCGAGGGCCCGGGGTCAGTAGGGGGCCCCATGAGATGCCCCTGGTACCTTTTTCATAGGCTTTTTTTAGTTTGGGCAAGGACACAGGGGCCCCATGATCCCCTATTGCCCGGGGGCCCCATGAGTTGGCAGTCTGCCCCTGGCTCCTACTGACCTCCGACAAGTCTCAACCCCTCTCCTTATCCTGGCAAGACCACCCTCAAGTCCGAATACTCCAGTCAGGTGAGTAACCCCCCCATCTGACTATACTCCCACCCAAATCCAGTCTCTGCCTCGCCTGCAAGCCCCAGTCCTGCTGGTCCTACCTTTCAGCTTCCCTCAGTCCAGCCCTGAATAACCTGTTAATTAACTACCTGCCGACCGCAGATAGCCGAATGACGGCTGCACTGCGGCCAGCCAGCTCTGGGTGGACGTCATATGACGTCCTCCCAGAACGCGCTCTCCTGTGCGCCCCAGGGGGCGCGCACCCAGCGATCTCCTGATCGCTGTGTCCGTAGGACACAGCTGATCACGTGATGTGGTAAAAGGCCAATCACAGCGGCCTTTTACCACGTGATCAGCGGTGTCCAATGACACGCTGATCAGAGGGAAATGCAAGTGCCGGTTCTCGGCTGCACTTTCCTCACGCTGTCAGATCGTGAGGAAAGTACTACCGAGAACCGGCAGTTGTCAGAGCGGGGATCGGCACCGATCATCAGGGTCACTGATCACCAGTGCCCTGATGATCGGTGCCCAGCAGTGCCACCCGCAAGCTCCGCCCAACTGTGCCCAGCAGTGCAGTGCAACCACCTGTGCCCAGAAGTGCCACCTACCCGTGCCCAGCAGTGCCACCCACCTGTGCCCACCCACCTGTGCCCACCAGTGCCACCCACCTGTGCCCACCCACCAGTGCTGCCCACCAGTGCCACCCACCAGTGCAGCCCAGCAGTGCTGCCAGTCAGTGCCACCAGTCAGTGCCCAGGGGTTGTGCCAGTCAGTGTCACCAGTCAGTGCCGTCTATCAGTACCCATCATCAGTGTCACCTATCAGTGCTGCTGCATATTAGTGCCGCCTATCCGTGACACCTCATTAGTGCTGTCTATCAGTGCCGCCTATCCGTGCCACCTCATTAGTACTGCCTATCAGTGCCCTTTAGTGCTGCCTATCAGTGCCCATCAGTGCCGCCTATCAGTGCCCATCAGTGCTGCCTCATCAACGCACATCAGTGAAGGAGAAAAAATACCTGTTTGAAAAATTTTATAATAGAAACAAAGAAACTTTTTTTTTTTTTTCAAATTTTTTGCACTTTTTTAATTTATAGCGCAAAAAGTAAAGCGCCCAGTGGCGATTAAATACCACCAAAAGAAAGCTCTATTTGTGAGAAAAAAATGATCAAAATTTCATATGGGTAAAATGTTGCATGACCGCGCAATTGTCAATCAAGGTGCGGCAGCGCTGAAAGCTGAAAATTGGCCTGGTAAAGAAGGGGGTATAAGTGCCTGGTAGGCGAGGGGTTAATCCTGGACAGTTGCCATGAACATCCCAAATAAACATTTTATCTCCGAAATTATTTACTTAATTGCAAAAGACATTCAATTCTGTTATCTTGGTACACCTTATCAGCTTTACTGAGCTCCAGATTCCTAAACACCTCATTGTTAAAAAAAAAAAAAAAAAGGAGTCTTAAAGTTCCACAAGAAGACATTCCAAGGACCAGGAGAACAATAATATATTCCAATAACACCTTTTTGCAAAGTCATTGTAGCAAGCGAACCTGTTACTATAGAGTTGTGCTCAGACGTTTGCCTCCCCGTGGAGAATTGGGAATATACAGGATGGACCATTTTTAACCACTTGCCCTCCGGAGGATTCCCCCTCCCCCACCTTGCTGACCAGGACATTTTTTGGGTTACGGCGCTGCGTTACTTTAACCGACAATTGCGCGGTCATGCAACGCTGCCCCCAAATTAAATTTACGTCCTTTTTTCCCCACAAATAGGGCTTTCTTTCACCCGCCGCACCCCACAGTGCACTGCGGCCTGACAGTGCGTTGTGACCAGGGGCGGACTGACCATATGGAAAATCGGGCACTGCCCGAGGGCCCGGGGTCAGTAGGGGGCCCCATGAGATGCCCCTGGTACCGTTTTCATAGGTTTTTTTTGAGTTTGGGCAAGGACACAGGGGCCCCATGATCCCCTATTGCCCGGGGGCCCCATGAGTTGTCAGTGCGCCCCTGGTTGTGACTGGACAAAGCAATGCACCTGACCATTGTGACTGACTGTAATGCTTTGGCTAATCACCGCACACGATGATGTGTCACCCCGCCCCTTGTGATGTCATCACTGTATTTAAAAACTGTCATCACGGAGCAGCTGTCAGACAGCCGGGAGCCAGCGTCAAAAGCGGAGCATTTTTTTTTTCTTCTTTTTTTCGGGTCGGCGGTGGCGGCGGGCATCGTGGTTGGGGGACATTTTAAAAAAAATGTTTTAATAAAGGACTTGCCAAAGACTTTCTTCTGTCATTTTTTACACTACACTTTTTTTGTGTGAATCGGTAGAGGTTCCATGTACCCCATACTCATTCACATGGGGGGGTTGGGATCTGAGGGTCCCCTTGTTAAAGGGGGTTTCAAGATTCCAATAAGCCCCCCACCCGCAGACCCCCACAACCACCAGCCATGGCTGTGGGGAATAGGCCCTTGTCCCCAACAACATGGGAACAAGGTGCTTTGGTGGGGAGCCCCCCCTGCCTCAAACACCCCCCCATGTTGAAGGCATGTGGCCAGGTAAGGTTCAGGAGGGGGGGGGGGCTGGCGCTCACTTGTCCCCCCCCCTTTCCTGACCTGCCAGGCTGCATGCTCGGATCATGGTCTGGTATAGATTTTTGGGGGGGTTCCCCAAGCCATTTTTTTTCTATTTTGGCGTGGGGCTATCCCTCAAAACCCAGACCAGACCCGAAGGGCTTGTTATAGATGTAGGGGACCCCACTTTTTTTTTTTTTTTTTTTAATTGCCAGGCAATACGTCAACTCTTTTTACATTCAGCTATCAGCTGGGAACCCCACTGACAGCTGAAACAATAAAGAACATTTTCACTACTATAATACCACATGACTTAACCGCTTTAGTGCCGCCCCATAGCAGAAATACTGCAGGGCAGCAGCGGTGTGCAAAATCACGTGTATATATATATATATGTGATTTTGCATGTCCGGGTAGGGGGTGCGCGTACCACCATTCCCGGCTGTCAATTCACCGGGTCCCGTCCGGTGATTACTCGCTGGCTCCCAGTGATTGCCGAGGATCTCCGATGGGGGGAGAACTGTTAGTAAACAAAACTGTTCTCTCCCCTGTCAGCTCCTGCCCACTGCTTTACATGGCTCTGCACAGCACAGCCATACAAAGCAGTGTGCTTACAGTGAAGCACAAACACAGAACATAATGTAAAACAGCACACAGTTAACCCTTTGATTGCCCCAGATGTTAACCCCTTCCTGCCCAGTGCCATTAGTACAGTGTCAGTGCTTTTTATTAGCACCGATCACTGTATTGGTGTCACTGGAGATGTCACCAATGACACCAAGTCAGTTCCCCCCACCCCTCAGTGTCAGAATGCCCACCGCAGTCCCAAAGTCCCGCTATAAGTCGCTGATTGCAGTTAACACCAGGGGGGGACTGACCATTCAAGCACTCGGGCACTGCCAGAGGGCCCGGGGTCAGTAGGGTGCCCCATGATATGCCCCTGGTACCTTTTATAGGCTTTTTTGAGTGTGGGCAATGAAACTGGGGCCCCATGATCCACTATTGCCCGGGGGCCCCATGAGTTGTCAGTCCACCCCTGGTCATTACTAGTAAAAATTAAAAAAAAAAAAAAAAAAAAAAGCCCAGTATACATATACACCGCCATTTTTAGACGCTATAACCTTCACGTAAAACCAATTCATTTACACGTATTGGGATTTTGTTTTTAGCAAAGACACGGAGCAGAATACATTTTTATGACTAAATTTGATTTTTTTTTGATTTTTTTTACTGGACGTGTTTAATAACCAAAAGTCAAAAATGTTGTTTTTTTTTTTCTCAAAATTGTCAGGTTTTTTTTATAACGCAAAAAAATGAAAAAAAATTAACAGGCGATCAAATACCACCAAAAGAAAGCTTGTTTTGTGGGAAAAAAAGCACGTAAATTTAATTTTTAAATTTTCAGTTGTTTTTGGTTTGTTTAGCAAAAAAATAAAAAATCCCAGAGGTGATAAAATACTACCAAAAGAAAGCTCTATCTGTCTCAAAAAAAATTATAAAAATTTCATATGGGTATGGTGTTTCATGACCGCGCAATTGTCATTCAAAGTGTGACAGCGCTGAGAGCTGAAAATTGGCCTGGGCAGCAAGGGGGTATAAGTGCCCGGTAGGCGAGGGGTTAATAGCACAAAGTCAAAAATATTGTTTTTCTCAAAATTGTCAGACTTTTTTTTATAGCGCAAAAAAATAAAAACCGCACAGGTGATCAAATACCACCAAAAGAAAGCTCTATTTGTGGGGGAAAAGGACGTAAATTTAATTTGGGTGCAGCGTTGCACGACCGCGTAATTGTCAGTTAAAGTAACGCAGCGCCGTAACGCAAAAATTGACCTGGTCAGGAAGGGGGGGGGGGGATCCTCTGGAGGGCGAGGGGTTAAGGTGTTTCAGATGCCGGAGGAGGGGGGGGGGGCTGGGTTTCTGATCATGTGACCGCCGTGGTTGGCTGTTACTTGGCGTGTTGTTTATTTGGTGGAGTTTTGCTCATTCCGCCACAAACTCCTGAGAAAGGGGAAATTTTCCACGACGCATGAATACATTTTGGTCCAAATTTATGACTAAATTAGATTTTTAAAATTTTTTTACTGGACATGTTTAATAACAAAAAGTAAAAATATTGTTTTTTTTTCTCAAAATTGTCAGTCTTTTTTTTTTTCATAGTGCAAAAGAATAAAAAAACTCACAGGCGATCAAATACCACCAAAAGAAAGCTTGTTTTGTGGGAAAAAGAGGACATACATTTAATTTGGGTGAAGCGTTGCATGACCGCGCAATTGTCAGTTAACCACTTGCCGCCCTGCCACTGTAGAAATACGGTGGCAGGGCGGCACTGGCAGGCAAAACCACGT